CAATTACTAACCTTTTCTTTGCACATGCCTGTTCTGATCTTTTTTCTACATAAAAGGCCTGGCAAGTTCAATATGACTTTGTGGGGTCGATCAATCCTTGCTTGAGAAGCTGTGCACATTCTCTTGAGGGTTGATTTGGTACTTGGACCAGTAATAGCGCTCTGACTCATAAATTTATTTTATGAATCACTATCCATTAGAGAATTAATGGTACTCAAGGATAAAGATGAAATTAGAGAAGTTAACAGATTTCTCCTAGCTCTAATTATGAATTATTTATGGAGGATTGATTTATATGCAATGACTATATCAAATGGACACTTCACAGTGTAGAAGTAATTTATGTCTATAATTATAAGAGTGCAATTCCAAGTTTATAGTGGAGTAACTATTGGAATTAATAGAATTAATTAATTAATTAAATAGTTTAATTAAGTAATTATTTTATTGGAGCTCAAAATTATTGGTCCATGAATTTCCGCGTCGTCCTTGTAATTCTACAAGACACGAAGGGCAAAATAGAAATTTTAGAATTATAGAATTCTAAAATAAAACGCTCAAGGATAATTAATTATAAATTAAATAATGTGATTATTTAAGTTTAAGTTTAAATTTGAATTTTGAAACACACATGTGAAGGTGCTCACATACTGTGAACGCACAACACAGTGTGAATCCCTTTGGGATTCAAATTGCTTTCTCTCCATAGTTATCCAATTAACTTATTTGATAAGTTGTCCAATTTGAAATTCAAATTGATTTAAATTTGACTTAAATTGGAATTTGAATTTAAGTCAAAATTGTCATATGGATAAGGGGAGACAGATTTTTTGTTTCAAAATTAAATTTGAAGTTAGAGATAATTATCAAGTTTTATCTTAGAGGTAAAGATTAGACTCTTTCTGGGAGTCTGGCATAGTGGCTGAATTTTTTATAGAGTGTGAGAAGATTAGTTTTTTCTAAAAGTTCCATGTCATGCATGTAAAGGTGTTCATGGAAACCTTGAGTGTTTATTCACTAATCTCATTTTGTTTCAGGTGTGCCCACACACACGTCTTTGTAGATTCAAGGAATTGACGGGAAAGATTTAGGTGTTCTAAACTATCTTGGAGCAAGGAATGTTTGAGGTAAAAAAATATAAGATATCGTCCTAATCGATCGCAAGGTAAATAAATTAATTTGATTAATTTATTCGTGCATAAATTAATGTAATCTATAGAGTATATCAAAGTTTTATGAAAATTTTTGTTATACCGATCCGCTAATCACACGTTTCCGCATCCGAAATCATTTCGGAAAACATCAAAAAGAACGTTTGAATTTTGAAAGTGAATTTAGCATTAAAATCTCACTCATGAGAAAATAAGTTTAACATATGATGCTGGAAATCACCATTATAACCACTAGTAATTATGATAATTACAATATGAGTCACAACGATAATTAACGTTAGTCATTATTGTAATGACTACCTGGAAAATAAAAATTATTATTTTGCAAATATAATGATGCTCACAAATTAATTCAAACTGATATTCTACTTGTTATTCAAATTGGAAACAAATTTGACCAATTAGTTCCCTCAAAATCATAACCCACACCTTTTTTTAAGATTTCTTACCATATGTGTGGAAAAAAGTCAAAGTGCTCTTTATTAACACTTCTACATGAGGTCGTGTCGCGTATTAGATTCAAATCAGGATTAAATGCCTCTAGGAAATATCTATAACTTGTTCATATGAGGAGAGTGGGAGAGAGAGAGTGGAGAAAGAAAGAGAGGGAGGAAAAAATGTGGGAGCCCAAATGAAAGAGAGAAGGAGAATGAGAGAATAAGCTAGGAGTTTAAATGAAGAGAGAGAAATTGAGGAGATATTTACAACTTGTTCAAGTAAGGAGAGAGAAAGGAGAAAGAAAGAGAGAAAATATGAGAGTTCAAATGAAGAGAGAGAAAGAGAGGGAGAGAAAAAGGAGGGAGTTCGACTGAAGATAAAGAAATTGAAGAAGGAAGCTGAAATCTGCATTGAATTTTGGCAAGAGTAATTTTGACAATTTAACTTCATGGTCCCTCAGATGCTGATGTTGCAGTGCTAAAAGTATAAGCATGAAAAAATGGTGCTTGTTATAAAATAATTATTGTAATCGGTGTTATTTTTGTAAATAACCCTTTAATATCACGTGTATTTTATAATTCTAAATTGGTACTCTCCATATAAAATATCAGTTTTTTGTACCTTAAAGTCATTAAATGGGACATGAAATGTCAAATTTGCCCCTTTTACTAATTTGTGATTTGTTTAACGAGAGTTTACTCTTTTAAAATTTTTGAAGGCAATAAAAATATTTGGTTACATATATAAGTTTTTCTCAAAACATTTAATCAATAGTAAACCCGAGTCAACCAACTTAGAAATTGCTTAAAATGACAAATTCTACATTTTAATATCTCAAAAAAACCTTGGGATACTAAAACCGATGATTTAAAACGTTGAAATACTAATTTAAAATTATTAAAAACACAATGTGCCAAGAGATGATTTCGCTATAACACATGATACTACATTAAAATTATTCCTTAATTGATATATAACAATTCACTAACTCTTTTTTGGAAACTTATTCCTTTTTCCAAAAGTTTGATCACAAAAATTTTCTTAGGCCTTGTTTGGTTCATAGTTTCAAATCAAAATTAAAACGAGTGATTTTAATTATGACTTTTAAAATTCAAATTCTTTTGTGAGAGAAAAAATATTGTAGCAAAATAAAAACCATGAGTTCAAATCTAAGAACTATAAAACAAACATACCCTTATTTTTAAGGATAAATTTTATTTTTGTTCTTCGAACTTTAGTCTTTTTGTCACTTTAACTTTAAAAATTGGTCTGCACATACCATTAACTTTAGTCACTTTGCCCATTATATTTATTTGACTAACGGATTTGATGACATGACAATTATAGGAGGGGTAGTTTGATGAATTATTTGTATAAATGCCCCTGAAGTATATATCGTATTTCTAAATGCCCATTGATCTATCAAAACACATCAAAATGTCCCTAATATATTGAAAACATAATAAAATAACAATTTTATTAATGGGACTTGTCATTAAAAATTAATTACACATTAAATTCTAATTGAATCAATAAAAGTGATTAAATATTAAAAAATAATAAAAAAATATAAAAATGCTTCACTTAAAAAATTCAAAAATTAAACAAATTAACTTTTTTTTTCAAATATCAAATCCCAAAAGAAAAGAATAATTTTTTTTTTGAAAAACCTTTGATGAGTGCGTAATTTATGCACTCATTCGTTACTCCTTTAGCTAGTTTCGGCGTGTTTTTTCTCAAGTTGTTATGTGGATTTGATGACTTTCCCTTGAGTGTGTAGGCATGGGTGAAATCGCTGAGATTTGAGGCATTTTAGATCAAAAAGACAGAGAACGAGGCGATATGGCGCCTTCAGATGGCGATGCGGCTCGAAAAGGAGCAAAATCAAGCAAACTTGTACAAAGGAACAGCGAGAGCTGCGACATGTCGCTTCCTTTGCGGTGATATGTCACTGCCTACAGGCAATATATCGCCTGATTAGAGGCGATATGCCGCCTGCCCTAGTCTGGTGCACAGATAACAGTGAGAGCTGCGATATGTCGCCTGTTTCTAGGCGATATGTCGCCTCCCGATTTTATTAAAAACACGCGTTTTACCCTAGGTGGGGCGAAGATTTTGATGGAAAGTCGACTTGGCTTCTTGGGAGGCGTGTTGGATGTGGGATATAAAAGGAGTGACTAAAAATTTAGAAAAGGGGGAGAAAAAGGGTTTGCAAAAGAAGAAAAACTGAATCGAAGAGGATTGGAAATTGGAGCAGTTCCAAGAATTCCAAGCGTTCTTTCATCTCTTTCTTCTTGTACTTTTCTAGATTTTGAATATTATTTTGAGACTGTGAACCACATGATGTGTGGCTAATTTTCTTATTTGTTAGGGTTTAGGTGAATCTCTATTTGTGATTATTGTTTTGATGTTTTAATGTGCATTTAATTAAAGCTCTTTGTTTCTTTTGTGTTCTATTTTGAATTGTTGCTACCAAATCTATGATTTACATATTGCTATGCTTTATGAGATTTTGAATTGGGCAAATTTAGATTGTGAGGATTAATACTCGAGAAGGGAACGTTCAAGCAATTAAGAAACGGGTAGAACAACTTAGGTTGGTGTAAGGTCAAGAGATAAACATTGCCTAGGTAGTCGAAACAATTTTAGGTTGTGAAATTGAGAAGTGGAAATCTAGGAATTGTTTCTAGAGTGGAACTTAATGATGGTAGGAGGTGAATAGTTGTATAAAGATATAGCCTTGATATCACCTACACATTCTTTATGCGGCACTCGAGAAAGGGTATAAGGATACACATCACTCTAGGTTCTTGAGAACGTTGAGTTAGGTTAGGCACATTTTTACGGAGAAACATAATCGCAATAGAGTGAAGTCAAGACCTTAGCATTGTCATTATATTGATTTTTCGTTTTAATTTCAGCGTGTGTTATTCATTACTGTCATCTTTCCTTTTGATTTAGTTTTCTTTTATTTTAGTTTTTCTTTGAGTTTATCACATCCAAATTTGATCGCTTAGATAAAGTTAAGATATGATAATCGTAATAGCTAGTTTATATTCTTAACGTCAATCCTCGTGAGACGATATCGGTCTTCGGACCACTTTATTACTTGTACGACTTGTGCACTTGCAAGCATAGTCAAAATTATTTGCAACAAGTTTTTGGCGCCGTTGCCGGGGATTGAACGGCCAAGATTTATACTACTATAGTGAAGAAATATCTTTTTTATATCTAAGTTTTTTCAATTTGTATTTATTTATCTATTTTTCTTTGGTTGTGGTCGTAGGTGCATGCAAAAAAGCACGTGGCTCGGAACACTTGCCTTTGGATTCAGAAATTGAATGAACTATTCGAGCTTTGAGGAGAAAATAATGAGCTAGGGCTAAAAACATGGCCGAGGGACAAAACCACTTAGACCAGCAACGGACGTTGCGAGATTATTTCAAGCCCGTGGTGAATGAGAATTTTTTGGGCATCCAACGTCAACAAGTCAATGACAACAATTTCGAGCTCAAGCCGGCCCTCGTCAACATGGTCCAGCATAACCAATATGGAGGCTTGCTGCACGAGGATCCCAATATCCACTTGGCCACTTTTCTGGAGATTTGTGACACAGTGAAGATTAATGGAGTGAGTGCTGAGATCATCCGTTTGAAACTCTTCGCATTCTCCTTGCGAGACCGGGCTCGGTCATGGCTTCAATCTTTACCATCAGGGAGTGTAGCTGCATGGGAGGACATGGCCCAAAAGTTCCTCATCAAATTCTTCCCGCCTTCCAAGACGTCTCAACTGAGGGCCGAGATTACTCAATTTTGGCAGTTTGAGTATGAACAATTATATGAGACGTGGGAACGATTTAAAGAGATGCTCCGTAAGTGTCGTCAACACGGTATTGAGGATTGGTTCCAAGTTCAACTTTTCTACAATGGGCTTACTGGGCAAACTAAGGCCCATATTGATGCAGCGGCCGGTGGAACCATCTTGTCAAAGACACCCGGGGATGCACTCAATCTCTTTGAGGACATGGCAATGAATAGTTGTCAATGGCAAAATAAGCGGTCCACTGTGAAGATAGCAGCAGGGATTTATTATGTGGATCAAACGACGTCTCTCATGGCTCAAATGGCGCTCTTGACTAATCAAATCAAGGGACTTACTGCAGCCAATGCAAATGGTAATCAACAAGCGGTAAAGATGGCACAAACTTCAAATTCAAGTGATTCGTATGATGAGCAATATCACTTCGTCAACTGTAACTACAACTTCAGGCCCAACAACAACTTACCGACATATTATCATCCCAGCCGCAACCACGAGAATTTCTCTTATGCCAACAACCGGAATGTTTTACAACCAACCCTGGAGTCGAGTAAACCAGCAATGGAAAAGCCTTCCTCATCACTTGAAGAGCTTTTGAAGACGTATATTGTGGACTCTAAGGCTTGTCTTGATCAACATGAAGCTCATCTCAATAACATTGAAACTCACTGCACTAATTTGGGAGGCATTATGAAGGCACTAGAAACATAAGTTGGCCAATTGGCTAATGCTATAAAAGAGCAATCATCACGGTCCTTCCCGAGCGACACCGAGAAGAACCCAAAGGAGTGCAAGGCCATCACATTGAGGAGTGGCAAAGAGCTTGAAGGCCCGAATGTCCAAAAAGCCATGGTTGATGAGGAGCCTACTAAAAGCAATGACAATGGTAAGGGTAAGGCAATGGAGGAAAACCTAAAAGCCAAGAAGGAAGCACCGGTGGTTAGACCGGGTTCGATCACCTTCCCGGATAATCCACCTCGTATAACTCCCCCATTGCCATTCCCTCAACGATTCTAGAAGAAGGCGCTTGACGAGCAATTTGAGAAATTTCTCAATATCTTTAAGAGGATCCACATCAACATCCCCTTCGTGGACGCTCTCGAGCAAATGCCAAACTATGCCAAATTTATGAAGGAGGTTATGTCCAAGAAGCACAAACTCGAGGACTATGAGACAGCGAAGCTTACGGAAGAATGTAATGCTATCATAAAGAGACAACTACCAGAGAAATTGAAGGATCTGGGTAGTTTTACAATCCCATGCATCATTGGAGAACTTCAAATTGAAAAGGCCTTGTGTGATCTCGGGGCTAGCATTAATCTCATGCCTCTCTCTATCTTCCGGAAACTTAACCTTGGAGATATCACACCTACCACCATCTCACTACAATTGGCGGACCGCTCTCTCACCTACCCTAAAGGTATTATCGAGGTTGTCTTGGTTAAAATTGATAAATTCATTTTTCCAGTTGACTTTGTGGTGTTAGACATGGAGGACGACCAAGAAATTCCTATTATTCTGGGCCGACCTTTTCTTGCTACCAGGAAGGCTTTGATTGATGTCCATGATGGTAACTTGACACTCCGGGTGAACGGCGAAGAGGTAAAGTTCAACATTAGTAATGCCATGAAATTTTTAGAAGAGCGACCAAGTTGTAACCGGATGGCTGTGGTGGCCCCGTGCTTTAAAGACTTCTTTCAAACCATTATTTATAAGGACCCTTTGGAGAGATGTCTTTCAACACCACTCTCTAAAGGGGATCTTGGGGTGGAGTTCAGTACGTGTGAAGTGGACTTGATTGATTGTGTCTATGCTCTAGAGGCACTACCGGAGGAGAAGGTTAATCCGAAAGAAGAGGATGTACTTAAGGTACCCACACCTTATAAAGGCTCAAAATTGAAAGCCACCACTAGTGACGGGCTAGTTTTGAAGCAATTGCCTGACCATCTTCGCTACGTATTCTTGGTAGATGACTCTACTAAGCTGGTCATCATATCGGCATCTTTGAGTGAGGAGGACGAGCGGAAGTTGATCAACATACTGAAAAGGTACTCATTCGCTTTTGCTTGGTTAATTTCTGATATTAAGGGTATTAGTCTGGCCATTTGTATGCACAAGATCCTTATGGAGGACTCCTACAAGCCTTCTATTGAACACCAACGGAGACTTAATCCCGCAATGAAGGAGGTTGTGAGAGCGGAGGTTTTGAAGCTATTAAATGCTGGTATTATATATGTCATTTCTGATAGTTCATGGGTTAGTCCGGTGCAAGTTGTGCCGAAGAAGGGTGGCATGATGGTAGTTAAGAATGAGAAAAATGAGCTCATTCTAACTCGTACGGTAACAGGGTGGCGAGTTTGTATTGATTATAGGAAGCTCAACAAGGCCACCCGAAAAGACCATTTTCCTTGCCCTTCATTGATCAAATGTTAGATCGATTGGCGGGGCACAAGTATTATTGTTTCCTTGATGGCTATTCGGGCTATAACCAAATTGCCATTGCCCTGGAGGACCAAGAGAAGACCACAGTCACCTGTCCATATGGTACATTTGCCTTTTGCCGGATGCCTTTTAGGTTGTGTAATGCGCTGGCTACCTTCCAACGGTGCATGATGGCCATCTTTGCCGACATGGTGGAGAATATTATGGAGGTATTTATGGACGACTTCTCAGTCTTTGGTTCATCTTTTGATTCTTGTTTGCACAATCTTGGGTTGGTGCTTCAAAGATGTGTAGAGACAAACCTTGTGCTTAATTGGGAGACGTGCCACTTCATGGTGAAGGAGGAGATTGTCCTTGGTCACCGAGTTTCGTCGCTAGGTTTGGAGGTGGATCGAGCCAAGATTTCCACAATTGGGAATCTACCACCACCAACAAATGTGAAGGGAATTCGAAGTTTTCTCGGCTATGCGGGATTTTACCGGCGATTCATTAAAGATTTCTCTAAGATCGCCAAGCCACTTTGCAACTTATTTGAAAAGGACGTGGCATTTCTTTTTGATGACTTTTGCCTCACGGCTTTCAATATGCTTAAGGAAAAGCTCATAGCGGCCCCCATCCTAATCGTCCCTAATTGGAGTGAACCTTTCGAGATAATGTGCGACGATAGTGACTATGCTATTAGAGCCGTACTTGGCCAACGGAAGGAAAAAGTTTTTCGGGCAATCTACTATTCAAGCCGTACTTTCAATGAGGCCCAAGAGAATTACACAACAACTGAGAAGGAGATGTTGGCAGTGGTTTACTCATGCGACAAGTTCCGGCCTTACATCATTGGGTCCAAGGTTATTGTATTTACGGATCATGCGGCCATCCGGTACTTGTTCGAGAAGAAAGATACGAAACCTCGATTGATTAGATAGGTCTTATTGCTACAAGAGTTTGATATGGAGATCCGGGACAAGCGAGGCATTGAAAATGTGGTAGCCGACCATCTATCTCGCCTTGAAAGGGTTGTTGAAAAACAAGGAGCTTCGTCCATTCTAGAGTCATTCCCAGGTGAGCAATTGTTTGCAATTGAGGCAAAGCTCCCACGGTATGCTGATTTTGTCAATTATCTTGCATGTAAAGCTTTGCCACCGGGATTGACCTCTCAACAAAAAAAGAAGTTCATGCATGATGTGAAGCACTACATTTGGGATGGCCCCATTCTTTTCAAACGATGTGCCGATCAAGTCATCCGGAGGTGTGTGCCGGAAAAGGAGATCCCGGATATCTTGTTTCATTGCCATTCATCTCCCGTCGGCGGACACTTTGGAGTTGCACGGACCGCCGCTAAGATTCTTGAGAGCGGGTTCTATTGGCCTACTTTGCACCAGGATTGTCATGAATTCGTTAAGAATTGTGACCGGTGCCAACGTGTAGGCAACATTTCGAGGCGACATGAGCTACCCCTCACTAATATATTGGAGGTTGAGATATTTGACGTGTGGGGGATCGACTTCATGGGACCATTCCCGCCTTCATTTGGTAATCTCTATATCCTTTTGGCAGTTGACTATGTGCCTAAATGGGTTGAAGCTATTGCAACTCCCACAAATGATGCTTGGGTGGTTGTCAAGTTTATTCAAAAGAACATTTTCTCACGTTTTGGCACACCTAGAGCTATACTTAGTGATGAGGGCACTCACTTCGCCAACAAGGTGTTTGATACGCTCATGGCCAAGTACGGAGTCCAGCACAAGATGGCCCTTTCTTACCATCCTCAATCCAATGGCCAAGCAGAAATTTCCAACCGGGAGATCAAGCTTATCTTGGAGAAGACCGTGGAATCAAATCGGAAGGATTGGTCAAACAAGCTTGACGATGCTCTATGGGCATATAGGACGGCGTTCAAGACACCTATCGGCATGTCCCCGTACAAGTTGGTGTTTGGGAAGGCATGTCATCTACCATTCAAGCTTGAACACCAGGCGCATTGGGCCATTAAGAAACTCAACTTTGATTTGAAGGCCTCGGGAGAGAATAGACTTCTTCAACTCAATGAATTGGAGGAGATTCGTAATGAGGCGTATGAGAATGCGAGGATTTACAAGGAGCGCACGAAGCAATGGCATGACAATAGGATCCTCCGCCGCGACTTCATTCCGGGAGAGAAGGCACTTCTATTAAACTCTCGCCTTAAACTTTTTCCTGGAAAGCTTAAATCTCGATGGTCTAGTCCATTCACGGTTACAAAAGTATTTCCATTCAGCGTTGTTGAGATACAAAGAGGAGATGAACCTGCCTTCAAAGTGAACGGACAACGCCTTAAACACTATTTTGGAGGCGAGGTGGAGAAGATTGCGAGTCTTAAGCTCGTCGAGGACATCTGAAGCAGGAGGTACTATGTCTAAACGTAGCGCTTCGCTGGAGGCAACCCACATATGATTTTTCTTTGATTATGTGTCAAATGGAGTTCATGATATGCCCTTTTCGTTCATTCGGTATGTGTCTCTATATCTTTGACTGTGAGCTTGATCTATCATGCTTGCTTTTGATTTTGTTATCTCTATTTCTGAGCACATGTCTATTTGATTTTCCTTATACGCTGTGTGGCTTTGTGTACAATTTTGAGACTTTTTATCGCAATGAGAATGCTAGAACTTACCCAAAGGACTTGTCGAGGCGAAATCCTAGGTCTTTTTTGTGTTGATAGGATAGAGGCCCTCTTTGGATCGTTTGAGCCAAAAAGCTGACCCGAGCAACATGTTATCCATAGAGTCTCTCTTTGAGCCGAAAAAAAAAACCATATTCATTTGTCTTACCGCCTGTGAACCAGAGCCTTGCAATGTATCATACATAGCTTCACCCACTCACCTTGGCATCGCACGTGATTCCTTCATAGAACGTCGAATGCATGACCAGCGAGAGTCGTTTAGTGAGGAGTTTTCTGAGATCGTCCTTGATCCTTTACATTCATCCCTCACCATTCTAAATGCCAATTTCGTTTCAAAAAAAAAAAGAAAGAAAGAAAGAAAAAGAAAAAAAAATGAAATATATATGTATAAAAAAAAAAGAGAATTTCAAGTTTGGGCATCGATCATAGTGGGGGATTATGTTTGTGGATGTTACATTCAAGGGAGAAAAGACGAATCTAGAAGTAAAGGGCACTGGTTTCTGTTCAGTGAACAGAGGAGTCTATTATTGCCACTGTGCTTGTCTAGGGTGAGTTTACTTTTTTTTTTTCCGATTCTCATCTATCCTTAACCCTAGCCTAACGTTACAAGCCGAGTAATATCCTCTTGATCTCTATGGCATTTGACCTACATTAGTGGAGATGAGTCAGACATGTGAGCCTATGGTCGTTCTGTTTTTCATGTTTATCTTGTGATTTGTCTTGATACACATAAGTCACATTTGTGTTTAGCTTTTGTAGATATGATTTGCACACACTTACACAGAGATGACAGTGTCAGAAGTTGAGTATTGGTGGGTTGAAATTCTAGTCATTTTCTATATTCACATGTTGGGTGGGTGCAGAGGTGTTTGGTAATTTGAGATTTTATGCCTAAGGTCTATGTTTACACTCTCAGTCGGTTCATTTCTATTTCTTTTGTTTTGTTTTTAGTTTGTTATTTTAGGTTGTCATTTTGTGTCCTTATGTCCATTTCCCTTTGTGTGTTTTGTTTATTATTAGGTTTTTCTACTTGAGGACAAGCAGCCGTTCAAGTTTGGGGGTGTGATGAGTGCGTAATTTATGCACTCATTCATTACAGCTTTAGCTAGTTTCGGCATGTCTTTCCTCAAGTTGTTATGTGGATTTGATGACTTTCCCTTGAGTGTGTAGGAATGGGTGAAATCGCTGAGATTTAAGGCATTTTAGATCAAAAAGACAGAGAACGAGGCGATATGGCGCCTTCAAATGGCGATGCGGCTCGAAAAGGAGCAAAATCGAGCAAACTTGTACGAAGCAACAGTGAGAGCTGCGACATGTCGCTTCCTTTGCGGCGATATGTCGCTGCCTATAGGCAATATGTCGCCTGATTAGAGGTGATATGCCGCCTGCCCTAGTCTGGTGCACAAATAACAGCGAGAGCTGCGATATGTCACCTGTTTCTAGGAGATATGTCGCCTCCCGATTTTATTAAAAACACGCGTTTTGCCCTAGGTGGGGCGCAGATTTTGATGGAAAGTCGACTTGGCTTAAAAGGAGAGACTAAAAACTGAGAAAAGGGGGAGAAAAAGGGTTTGTAAAAGAAGAAAAACTGAATCGGAGAGGATTGGAAATTAGAGCAGTTCTTCAAGAATTCCAAGTGTTCTTTCTTCTCTTTCTTCTTGTATTTTTCTAGATTTTGAATATTATTTTGAGACTGTGAACCACATGATGTGTGGCTAATTTTCTTATTTGTTAGGGTTTAGATGAATCTCTATTTGTGATTATTGTTTCGATGTTTTAATGTGCATTTAATTAAAGCTCTTTGTTTCTTTTGTGTTCTATTTTGAATTGTTGCTGCCAAATCTATGATTTACATATGGCTATGCTTTATGAGATTTTGAATTGGGCAAATTTAGATTGTGAGGATTAATACTCGAGAGGAGAACGTTCAAGCAATCAAGAAACGGGTAGAACAACTTAGGTTGGTGTGAGGTCGAGAGATAAACATTGCCTAGGTAGCCGAAACAATTTTAGGTTGTGAAATTGAGAAGTGGAATTCCATGAATTGTTTCTAGAGTGGAACTTAATGAAGGTAGGAGGTGAATAGTTGTATAGAGATATAGGCTTGATATCACCTACACATTCTTTATGCGACACTCGAGAGAGGGTATAAGGATACACATCACTTTAGGTTCTTAAGAACGTTGAGTTAGGTTAGGCACATTACTACGGAGAAACATAATCGCAATTGAGTGAAGTCAAGACCCTAGCATTGTCATTATACTGATTTTTCGTTTTAATTTCAGCATGTTATTCATTACTGTCATCTTTCCTTTTGATTTAGTTTTCTTTTATTTTCATTTTTCTTTGAGTTTATCACATCCAAATTTGATCGCTTAGATAAAGTTAAGATATGATAATCGCAATAGCTAGTTTATATTCTTAACGTCAATCCTCGTGGGACGATATCGGTCGTTGGACTACTTTATTACTTGTACGACTTGTGCACTTGCAAGCATAGTCAAAATTATTTGCAACAACCTTATTCCTCTTCAACTCTGGAAGTGCATATCAAAATACTTTTTTTCCTTAAAAAGAAATTTTTTTTTTTAATTTTTAAATTCTCGTTTTGGGTTTTTCAATTTTTTTTGTTAAAAAAATTGTTGATATAGTTCTGAAAGTGTATATCAAAATACATTTTTTTTCTTAAAAGGAATATTTTTTATTTTTGAATTGTCTTTTGAATTTTATAAAATTTTTTAAAAAAATTAATTGATATAGCATGCCACTAAAAATTCAAAAAATCTAAAACATAAATAAAAAATATCAAAAAAAGGATGAAAAAAACCTTCTTTCTCTTCAAACATTGAAAAACCTTCTTCCTCTTGAAGTTAAAAAAATTATTTTAATATGCACTTCGAGAGCTGAAGAGGATGAAGATTTTTCAATTTGTTTTCCTCTTGTCTTTTGGGTTTTTTAAATTTTGGAAAACAAATTTCTTTAAATTTTAAGTTTTTGAAGTGAAGCATATTTATATGTTTATATTTTTTAATATTTAATTACTTTTAATAATTCAATTACAATTTAATGTTTAATTAATTTATAATAACATGTCATATTAATAAAACTGTTACTTTATATTTTCTAAAAATTAGGATCATTTTCATACGTTTATGCAAATTTGGGGGCATTTTGAAATATAATACGTATTTTAAGGGTGCATAGACAGAGTGACATTGGGTCTAATAGGGGCACAGGCTCCCACTGAGAAAGCAAAAGAAAAAAATTGACTCTCGTATAACTTCCATGATTATATTCTTTATTCCTGTATTTGTGCCCCCACTGACATACTCTCAGGATACCTTTTTCTTTTTTTTTTCCTCTTAAACTGAAAGCTTCCTCTTTTACTTTTGGGCTTTCTTTGATTTTTTTATTGGGCTCTAATTTTTCTTTTTGCTGGTTTTTTATTGAGCTCGAATTGATAACTTGCTTCTCAATTCATATGGTAGAATTACAAAGTGTGAAGATACTTAGACCCCGTTTACTTTACCGATTCGAGTTTAGAATTTGAGTTTTGTCACAGTAAAAAGTTCTCAGAAACAGTCACATCTAACTTTTTTGCTACAGTAAAAAGCTCTCACATAAAATCACATCTCAACTCGTATTACAAATTCGAATCAGTGAAGTGAATGGACCCATAATATTAATAAAAGACATTTTTAATAGCATTAATAATAAAATTATTATGCAATGATACTAAAAGATGAGAACTCATCGAGAATAATTGTAATGTGAATCTTACTTAATAAAATTTATGGCAAAAAGGTATTAGAAAAGCTACTTTATTTTTATGTTGTGTTAATTTATAAATTTTACATTTATTTATGCTCCTACTAAATTAAAAGTCTGACTACGTCCTTATATTTATGCATATAATTGATTAAACTACCTCTTTAATAATTATCACGTCATTAAATTTATTATTTAAATAAATAAAAAAATAATGTTAATAACGTTTTAATGTTCAGGAGTCATGCAGACTAATTTTTTAAAATTTGGAGGTAAAGTGAAAAAGAAACTAAGGAGTTGTTCTTTTGGAGTGTAATTTGAGTGTAGTTTTTGAGTTGAATTTGAGTTATAACTTGAGTTGAAGTTAAAATTTGAATAAAATTGAGTAAAATTAAATAAAGTTGAAACTTAAAAGAACGTGAACTTAAATAAAGTTAAAATTTGAGTTGTATTTTTTTAAATTTTTTAGATAAAAGAACAATCCCTAAAATTTTAGGGGCAAATATAAAATTTATCCTGAATTTTAAACATTATCTCGAGAAAAAAAAAAGAAGGAAATCAATTTTATCATTACAAAAACGTTTTACATGAGGGAAAATTAGTTGTCCACGTCAGCCATGGCCGCCTCACGCGCATAGTTTCCTTTACATTCAACGCCTCAATTTATTCGTATATAAATAAATCAGCCCCTTAAAAGACTCAAAGCGACAATTGTTTCTTTCTCTATTTTCTCTCTCCTCTGTGAGAAGCTGAAGGAGGAGCCCCGAAAAGCTATTTCCTCTCTCCTCTAAGCGATTAATTCGCTTTCTTTTTTAGGGTTTCCGAGCGATCTTCGCGAAGCACAAATCGAATCTTCAAGTCCAAGTTTAGATTCCGCCTTTTCGATTGGATTCTCTCGACACATACAAAACAATACAAATATCATCGAATTTCTGGTAATTCCCTAATTCTCGACCCATTTCCGGGGTCCGATTTCGTACGGATCTTGGCCAATTTGACAAGTTTTCACTTTCTCACGGGTTTTATTTTTATTTATTCCCCTTTTTTTTGAGCTCATCTTTTCGGTGTGTACGAAGTGATTTTGATAGACCGAAGGAAGGGGCGAAAGGGGCTGAGGGTTTCTTTTGTTAGTTAAATTTACGTTTGCTGTGGATAGTTTGTGTTTTTTTCTTTAAATTCATTGAGGTGTAGTTTGGGATTTTGATTGGTGAAGTGATATGACATCTGGGTTATAACTGTGTCAGTACTGGTTGTTGGGCCTTATAAGACATGAAGGAAATAGAGGATTTTACGGATTCAGCTTTGTCGACCCGGTATTATTCATAGAAAAATTCCAGTAATAAACTTGACTCAGATTGGATGGTGGTTTATGCGAAGAATTATTTGCCTGGTGAACTCAATTTTACGGTGGAAAAGAAAAGAAGAAAACGAGAACCGGGCGATTATTATTTCGACGTTTCTGGTAGAGGAAGAAGGATGTTTTCTTGCTCCTTACTGTTGTGGGAAGCTTTCTAGTAGTCTCTGTTGGATTATGTCGGTTGAGATGACAAGTGAGAAAATGATGATTCCCCTGTTTGGGAATGTAAACATACTAAAGATGGATATACTTTGTTGGCTAATGACTAGTGGGACATTGTGATAGATGGTGCCACATTGAGATAATTTCGGGTCGAGGTGCATTGCTTACCGTTGTGTGAATAACTCACGAAGTTGATTGCCCGTATTCCGCCTGTATTCCCTGGCCACTGCATTGGGACTGGGTTGATCTCAAGACCTAATCTGAGAGAATGAGCAGTATTACAACTCGACTAAATGACTGGTGGTAACATGATTTATATTGAACCATTGGTTATCAACTTTTTATGCGGAGTGTTGTAGTAAGAGGAGAAATATGTTCCTAGCCTGTGGTTTTTGGTATTGGAGGACATGTTGGCATTTTGCTTTTTCAGTTTGTGTTATACGATTCTATCATCCATTTTTTTCTTTTGAGTTAATTGATTCAAGTCAAATTGAACTAGATAGTAGCTAATTTGTAGTGTTTCGATTTGTCAAAATGTTCCAAAACTTGAGTATTCTATATGAGCTCATTTGTGTTTTCTGTAACTCACTTCAACATGTCTTTCTTTCAGTTCTCAACATTTTTTCACCTTCTTGAGTGAGGCATCCAAGTTTTTATTCGGATATCAAAATGCCAAAGGAGAGGAGAGATCGTTCTGTATCTCGTGATAGGTGTAGAGTATCTCCATATCCATGCAGCTCTAGTCACAGAAAGCGATCATCTACCAGTGATCCTGTAGAGTTGGAGGAAAATGCTAACGAGTGGGAAGAAGCTAGGTGCCCTGTATGCATGGAACATCCTCACAATGCAGTTCTGCTCATATGCTCGTCCCATGAGAAGGGGTGTCGTCCTTACATGTGCGACACAAGCTACCGACATTCAAATTGTCTCGACCAGTTTCGCAAGTCCTTTGAAGTGGAAAATTCATCAACAGGGCCACAACAAGAAGAAACCCAGAATTCAACTGCACAGGTTTCCCCTGCTGAGACATCAGAATCAACGGTCAGTTTTGTGCAAGAGGAAATAACTGCGGAAGGTCCTCCCATCTCTTGTGAGAATCAGACAACACCAAAACTCGTGTGCCCCCTTTGTCGTGGCCACATAAAAGAGTGGATTGTTGTGGAGGATGCCCGTCGTTTCATGAATGCAAAATCAAGAAGTTGCTCTTGTGAAACGTGTAATTTTAGTGGTGCATATACAGATCTCAGGAAGCATGCGAGGCTAGAGCACCCTCTAGTTCGCCCGTCGGAGATGGACCCAGAGAGAGAGCGCAACTGGAGGAGGCTAGAGCGTCAAAGGGACCTTGGTGACCTGCTCAGCACACTTCAATCATCGATGGGAGATGATAGATCTGATGAGAGCATTTTACCTATTGATGATGGAGGTTGGCTTACTGTGTTTTTCCTGATTCGAGTTTTCAGACCCGGGTCTGCTTCCAGGAGCAGCAGCTGGTCCGGTACCTCGAGAACCAGAGCTCAGGTTAGCATCAGAAGGAGATCAACCAGACTTTGGGGAGAGAGCTATGATGAGGAAACTGGGTCTTCTTCAAGAGAAGAGGATAATCAATCTTCAGATGATGGATCCGTCCCTCTGAGGCGCAGTGAGCGCATCAGGCGAAGGACAACGCCGGACAACATGCCATGACGGAGAGAGTATGTGGCATCTGTTAGGTTGTTCTCATGTTCCGCTTTCAAAAGTAAGTTTGTGACACCATTATATGTTGGTTTTTTTTTCCGTACTTTTTGATGGTAGAAACACGTTGAACTTAAAACTGTACATCTTGTTTGTTTCAGGCGGAGAGAGTAAGGAATTGGAAGCTCTTTGCTTGTGCTCTTCGAATACGTTCCACCGAGTGTGGAACAGTTGTGCGTGGAATTATTGGGGTCTATGGAGAGTGGATAAGAATTGTAATTTCTTGAAGAACTTTTGATCAATCTATGATATATTTCTTTTTCCTTTCTCGTCACATTCGCTTTTATTTTCTGGGATTACAAAAAACTTCTTGCTTTAATGATTAATTAAAGCTTCAATAAAACTTTCATGTTTATTTGATTAGCGTGAAGATGGGCTGTTGCCAGATTATCACGAGCCTAATATTAGTCATTGTGTGATCAAACTATATGTCTCTATTAGTTTTTAGTTTCTCTTTTTTGTTTTTGCTAAAAATTTTATTATTTGGCCGAAGAAGGGTAGGTTCATAGACCGTCTCAAAATGATTCGAAACGCCCTTTTCATGAGTTTAGGAATAGGTTCGGAGCTTTACAAAGGATTTGTGAAGTGTTTGGAATTGTTTTTATTTTTGTTTTTCATGTTTTTTTAAAAAAAATGAAAATAGGAGAGAAACGGCGTTTGACATAATTAAAGATAAAAAATAAAAATGAAAATGATTTTTTAATTTAGTGTAAAATAAGAGAGAAATAAAAAATGACTTTTAGTCGCTTTTCATTTTTTGTTATTGTTTTCTCATCTCTTGAAGTGAGAGAGACATTAATGGATTTAATGAATTATTTTATATTGAAAATAATCTCTTAATAAAACTACCAAACGTATTTTTAAAAATAATTTTTATCTGAAATTAAAAACGTTTATTTTAAAATGAGTTTCAAACACACTTAAAATATCGCGGAGTAAAGGTGGTGTTTCGGTGAGAATAAAGGAATCCTCTTTCACCCAAAAAAACAAAAAAAACAAAAAAACAAAAAAACAAAAAAAGAATAGAGGAATCCAATAGGCAGTCGAAATTCTTCATTTTCTGGGGCTTAGAGGCAGTGACTTGGATATGCCAAAGAATGGAGTTCTTATGCAAAAATAATAGGATTGATGGTTTAAAAAAGAAGCTCATGTTTTGCTAATTGAGGTGCGAGGGGAGAATATATGAAGCCCCATTTGTTTCATTAATTTAATTCAGTTCAATTCAGTTTGAAAAGTGAGCACAGTTTGAACTGGTGTTTGATAAGCATGTAATTTGAATTATATTTTCTGTTTGAACTGACTTGAATGGTCTAACTTAAAGTTAATTTTCCATTCAAGTTAAATAATTCAAACCATTTTTAAACAGTAAAAAGGTACCCAACTCTGCTTTTTACACCTACAAAACACAAATTTAAATTTTATTCTCTGTTCAAATTAAAACTTTGACTACGCATCTAAAGATCAATTCAAACTATAATTTAAACCACATAATTTGAATTTTTTTATTCAAACAAAAAGTTCAAATCAACAAAATTCAGAAGAACCAATGGCGGTACCTTTAAAGACATCATTCTATCGGAGACAACAAGAAGACGAGATGGAATATCTTAGAGATATTTAGGCAATATGCCATAATTTTTAAGGTTGGATATTACAAAATATGCCATGGTCTTTTCCCAGAAAATTCTGGATGTTACCTCAGGCGTTTTGGTGTTGATATATAAGCTTTGACTTTTTACAGTATACCAATTTATTTAAGCAAATGAATAATATGCACAAGCACAATCAAGAAACCCTGCAGAAATTTGCCAATTTTGTTCTCCATTTCTTACCTCTTAATAATTATAGAAGAGTGAAAATGCAAGTAGCTCGATTAAGTGGCTATATCTTAACGATTTATAATTATGATAATCTCGATTTTAAAGTCTAGGAATTCAACTTAATTAGGTTCCTATGAGTATTCATTCGGTATACCGTTAGGTTATCCCATTTCACATTTATTTGGGCTTACATAATTCTTAACCATTTCTGATGTTAGGACTGGGATGGGCTTGGGTGTTAACTAATCACCTGGTTGGTTTTCCTAAGCTTACTTAGAGATTACCTCAGCTCTTACTTGGGCCTTTAGGATTCGGTTCTAACTTAGTAACCTATTTGGTTTCCTCTTTGGTAGGGTTACTTTGTCCTTATTCGGGCCGTTGGCCCCGTTTGAACGTCTTAAGCTAATGGTTTTTAAGAGGCCAACTCTCCTAAGTGTCCTTAGACTTATCAAGCTTTCCCCGACTCTTAATAGACAATTTTACCTCAAGGAAAATTTATTGTCTTACCCTCAGCGGGTTTTGGCAGTTCTAGGATTTCCTTTTTTTATTCTACCCTCAAGAACTTCGTTTAACTGTTTTACCCCTTCACGTAAAAATGACCGTTTTGCCCTTAACAGTTTTCTAAGTGACTTAAGGGTTTAGTTTGGACTTTCCTAACCTTTTTCTACCATGTTAAGGTTCTGGACTTCTGCCTACACGTTCAGCCTTACATTTTCAGAAATTACGATTTTACCCTTAACGTCTGGAAAATTGACATTTTTGCCCCAGGGTCAAATTTGGTCGTTTTCTACCTGTCAGCTCATTTTGAAACAAGAATTAAAACTCTCAATTGGACCTCAGCCTAATTCTCACTAAAAAGACCATTTTGCCCTCAGTCAAAATTTGGTCAACACAACTTCTAAACGCGATAACTTTTTATCGGTGCGGGAATTTAGAAGTGTTAGCATTTATGCCCTTAGGAATAAATGTAACAATGTTCTTTGAGACATTTTGACTATTAATAAAGATTTATTTATTTCATTTATCCATGTATTGTCCTCTTTATGCTCATATTAGTTGAATGTATGATAAGCAAACTGAAAGTCTGAGACTGTTATTCTAAATATTTAGGTCATGCATGTAATGAGAAGAACTGTCACACCCCCAAATGGGGTAGGTGACGTGGAGCTCAATTAGGGGTTAATAAAACAAATTCCCAAACGGGCCCCACTTAACTTGATTAAAATATAATATGAATTTCTAAGTCCTGAGCCTCTGACAACACACAGGGCTCCACCCACAGGACATATAATATTGTACATACATGAACATGTAAATAATCATTACAGACATCAACCACTTTCTAATAAATCCAAATATTACATGAGTTTACAGAAGTTCACTTCCTTACATTTATATGTCAGAGGATGAACACAATCCTCGCTTAATCCAACAGTAGCAAATATCTAGCTACTCAGCACTGCTTCTAGAGTCTCCTGGGAGTGGTTAACATTTAAAACATTAAAACGTGAGTGAAAGGCCCAGTAGGATATATTTGAAATAACTTGGTAAATAAATAAACACGTAAATAAATGAATAAATATAGATATTCAGTTCCAACACAACAACCGGAACCTCACATCCTTTTTCTAAAAGGAATATAAACTGAAGATTACCATATCACAGGCATCAGCAAGTAATTTGTATAAATTACTTACACAACCAAGTGCACAAGCCTACCCGGACTGAGTTTCGGGTTCTGCCCCCGAGGATGCACTCTCCACATCCTATCTAGGTCATCAGTAATATTTTCTTACCGGTTCGCAAGATCTTTTTAATTAAGTAATCATTTATTAAACATTATGAAATCGTTATTATAATCCCATGAACTACAACAAGCCGTGGGTCCCCATGAACTACAACAAGCCATGGGCTCCGTGAACTACAACAAGCCACGGTTTTTAAAATATTTTTCTTTTGCAAACAAGCCCCTTTCTTTAAAACATTCGCAAGGCCAAAAATCCTTTTTAAAAACAGGCTCACAAAGAAAGGGATAGAAATCCTACCTCGAATTTACCAAACCTGTGGCCAGCGGCGCACTATTCCAGCTTCCGCTTCCTCAAGCCACTCAATCCGAGTCCTTAGCGATCACTGTTACAAGACAATACTTTAGGATCCTAATCTCATTCCTAAAGTAATCCAGGCTCAATCATATCCTTTAATTTCCTATTAGTGTGCCATAATCAATTTCATGTTTCAAGTCATAATTCCAAGGGTTTTAATTCCAAAACATGAATTAAAGATGCTAATCCATCGACTTTAGGTCCCCAAATGAAGCTAATTTGGGTCCTCCTCGAAAATAGGGGCCAAAACAGCAATTTCAGGCCAAACAGGGTCAAACCCCATATACACCTGTCGACCGGTGACAAAACAGGACATCACCACCGATCGACCGGTGGTGTGCAATCCGGTCAACCGGACAGGTCGACCGGTGGCCTCAGTGTTGTCTGGTCGACCATATCGATCGACCGGTGAAGAACACTAGTGCGAGAAAACTCGCAGAAATCAGTTCGAAAACTTGCAAATCTAGTCCCAAATCAAAATATTTCAAGGGACAACCACTAGATCCGGGTTCTAGGTCCTAAAACAAGTCCAAAGAACCCAAGATCTCCAATTTCTACCCTAGTTTTACTAAAAAATCATCAAAATCTATTTCGAACCAAAAAAGAGTTTTAAATCTGAAAACTTAGGATTTCAAGAGAGGTTTTTCAGAAATCTTACCTTGAATCCTTCTCTTGACGTTGAAACTCCTTGAAACTTTCCTTTGGTTCAAAATCCAGTTGATTTGAAGCAAAAATGGGAGAGAGAGAGAGAGAGAGAGGGAGTGTGAGAGAGTGAGAGAGAGAGAGAGAGTGAGAGAGAGGGTGCACGGGAAGGAAGGAAAAGAAAAAGAAAGAAAAGGAAGAAAATAAAAAGAAAAATAAAAGAAAATAGAGAGGTACCAACATTTAAAGAAAAACAGTCCAGAAATGCGCCCATACACACTTTTGGGTTAAAATAAAAATTACTGAGAATATTTAAATACCTTAGAATTATTTAAATTACACGTCAGAACATTTATTAATCAAAACCTAATTAATTAAATCAGATCAGGCACACTAATAAATCTTAATTATCTCAATTAATTCCACTTAATTCTTCAGGGTGTTACAAGAACATGCGGAAGACAGGAATCTAAAGATGATAGTCTAAATCATATGATCCACAATTGAGAAAATAAAGTTTGGCGCTTTATTCATGTTAAGATTGTTATGTTGTCTACTTCCTAACAAAGATGACTTGTTTTGGTCATCGGAGCTGGGACTCCATTGGTAGAGACATTGATATAGTTTCTAGTGCTGTAATTTGCTGGGAGATACGGCATTGAGTGCGCAGCGAAATTTTAAAAAAAATTTAAATCAATGCCAAAGCCAACCTAGAACATGTTCATGATGCTATATAACATAGATACTAAAGATCTAAATCATGCCTCCACAGATTTAGGAAACAACACATCTGATAGAT